TACATAATGCCTTATTAACCTTGAATTTTCTTAATGCCAATGAGAAAAGGAAAGCAGCAGCAGAAAGACATTGGATAGTGGAAAAATTTGCTGAACTAAATCAACTGGTTTATTTCAAGGATGTGCTGACCTCTCAATGGGAGCCAGGAGATGTGCTATGTTGGGGAAGAGGTTTTGCTTTTATTTCCACAGGAGAAGAAAAATTGTGGATATCATCAAAATTAATAAAGGTTCAGTTTGAAGAGGAGAAACCTCTTGGAAAGGAGAAATGACAACTCATCCACAATGATGATAATCATTCAGGTGGTAAGAAAAACATATAGGATGGGGGCAGGGTTCTGTTATTATCCCTGCAGGAAAACACTCATCTTTGAAAAATTCAAGGGACCCTGGATATTTGAACACTGACAGATGGTAACATAACTACCAAATAGGGACTATCAAGAAAATTGAATAGGTTCTGTAAGTATAAATAATCTAAGATATATGTTTATATTTCTAAACTTATAGAACTTGTTTTGGAGTTGGACCCTGGTTCTGTCCCAGAGTTTCTGGAGTTTCTGTCTCACGTCAAGAGCCATGATATGGGACAGAAAGAAAAATGAATTTAGCAAACATCATTGCTTTTCTTCATATCTACTTTTCTCTTTATCATGCCTTTTATTTACTATATGTCTGAATATGTTTATATAAATAATGTTTAAATTTTTCACTATAAGCAATGAGTTTTTCCTGTAGTGATATTTGAAGTTTCCAGGAAAAAGTTGGGGACCCATAACAACAACCCCACATGATATGACATCATGATACTGATAGGGCTACTACAAGACCTGTTTCCTGTACCAGCTGCACAAGACAGTGCCAACTTGGTTAGTTGAAATGGTGCACAACTTTTACAACATTCTGGGCAGACCTGCCCAAAATACTCAGAGACTATTTGCAATTTTACCAGACATTGATCTTGAAATTTAACCATCATTTTACTTTCACAGGATCCCCTAGAATGAACATCGCCCCCATGACAGCTGGAAGTAATTCAAGAAGATGATGTACCCTCTCCAGCACATTTTGTTCTCCGATTTAGGTATATCATTTAGGGTTTGATTTCAGTTGGTATATAGTTGATGGTTGGGGGAAGAATTTTATAAGCTCAGGGACCTTTTTGGGGAAAAAATATTGGACGATGAGATAATAGATTGGTATGTGTGAGTTATCATTTATAGATAAATACACTGGATAGAAAGTGAAATTATATTGCCTCCATTTTGCCCCCTGCTGGTCCTGAGCTCCCCTGCAATTTGGAGATCAGGGGATTCTCATTGGAAAGGTTGAAGTGAAATTTTCATTATTTGCAGATGGTAAAATAGTATATATAAGTGAACTCAAAAACCCTACCAGGGAACTCCTACAGCTGATAGATACCTTCAGTAATGTGGAATGGTACAAAACCAACAACAACAAAAAAAAACAGCAGCCATCCATATACAAATGATAATGAAAACTAGAAAAAATTGCCAAAACTTCAGCACTTAAGAATAGTCACAGGTATCATAAAATATAGTGATGTAACAGTAACTAAAGAAGTGAAAGATGTGCCTGAACTAATGTGCGCTCACCACCTCTAACTGGACTGGAAATGAATGAGCATGGGATCAAACTAGTCCCTCTGAATGTGGTTGAGAGTTGGGGCAGACTGAGAGGCCAGTGACAATGGCAGTGAAATTTGTCTCTACTGCATGTGTTGGCCTTTTGTGATCCTATTCTCTTTGGATTTATACCTGCTCAACCTGGATGCAGTGGAGAGGGCCTTGGACTTTGCACAGGTCAGGGTGTCATTCCCTCTCTTAAAATTGGAGGGGATGGGGGAAGGCATGTGGAGGAAGTTGGAGGAGGGGAGGAAGTGGAAATTTGGATTGGTATTTTTTAAAGTAAAGAATAGAATAATAATAAGAAGAAGATCTTTAAGTCTTTGAAGAAATACATTGAAGAAGATACGAGAAAATGGAAAGATCTCCCAAGCTCTTGGATAGGTAGGATAAACATAATAAAATTGAGAGTCCTGCCAAAAGCAATCTATAGATACAATGGAGACAGCAAGCATCTTCAACAAATGGTGATGCCATAACTGGATATCAACAAGTAGAAGAATGAAAATAGATCCATATCTATTTCCATGCACAAAACTCAAGTCCAAATAGATTAAAGACATCAAATCCAACCACACTAAACCTGATAGAAGAGAAAGTGATAATTGGCCTTCAATACTTGGGCACAGGAGACCATTTCCTAAATAAAACCCCAGCAGCACAGACACTGAGAGCAACAATAAATAAATGGGACCTCCTGAAACTTAGAAGCTTCTCTAAAGCCAAGAACACAGCCAACAATACAAAACGGCATCCTACTGAATGGGAAATGATCTTCACGAACCACACATCAGAAAACGGACTGATCTCCAAAATACATAAAGAACTCAAGAAATTAGACATCAAAATTGCAAATTACACATTACAACAATGGGGTGCAAAACTAAACAGAGAATTCTGAACAGAAGTATCACAGATGGCTGAAAGACACATCATTAGCCATTAGGAAATGAAAATCAAAACAACTCTGAGATTCCATCTTACACATGTAAGAATGGCCAAGATCAAAAACACTGATGACAACTTATGCTGGAGGGGTTGTGGGGTAAAGGGAACACTTCCACATTGCTGGTGGGAATGAAAGCTGGTACAGACCCTTTGGATGTCAGTGTTGTGATTTCTCAGAAAATTAGGAAACAGCCTTCCTCAAGACCCAATAATACCACTTTTGGGTATATAACCAAATGATGCTCAATTGTGCCACAGGACATGTGCTCAACTATGTTCATAGCAGCATTGTTTATCATAGCCAGAACCTGGAAACAACCTAAATGCCCCTTGATGGAAGAATGGATAAAGAAATGTGGTACATTTACACAGTGGAGTACAACACAGCAGAAAAATTAATGATATCTTGATTTTTTCAGGAAAATGGATGAACTAGAAAGCATTTTGAGTGAGGTAACCCAAACACAGAAAGACAATTATCAAATGTACTCACTCATAAGTGGTTTTTAAACTTAAAGCAAGGAAAACCAGCCTACGAATCATAACCCCAAAGAACTTAGACAACAATGAAGACACTAAGAAAGACATACACAGATGTAATCTATATGGGAAGTAGAAAAAGACAAGATGTCCTGAGTAAATTGGGGGCATGGGGGACCTTGGAGTAATGTTGAAGCAAGAGGGGAGAGGCAGCGAGGGGAGCACAGAAGAATGTAGAGTTCAATAACAAGCAATTTAAAAAATTCTAAACAATGAAACAAAAAAACAGAGACAAGGGAAGTTTCCTAGTCTTTTGTCTCTCACACCAGATGCAGTAGTGATGTTTGTCTCCTGACAACATCTTGTGGGATGGAGTCAGCTGTCAGCTTCCATATACTGGCAGCATTCATTAAGCTGAGCAGTGCTGGAGGCTGACATAACAATTTAAGGTTCTTCTCATGGAATCACAAAACAAAACATGCTAAGTAAAACAGATCCAGATAGGGGAAAAAAATCTAAACAGATTACATTGTATTTGAAAATATACATAGCCTTGGGAGAGAAAAGAAAAGGAGCATATAGTTATATGTTTAAAAATAGTTTAAAAATCTTGACGTCCTTAAATAAGGAATAAATTAATAAATAATATAATAAGGCATGTAAAGATGGGAAATACAAAGATACTGAATCCTGCATGTTATTGTGTTGTTTTTCAATTTTTTGACTGCTGATAAAGGTTCAAATAGCTGGTAAAAATAATTGAATTATGGAACTTGCCTGATTATGCAAAGCTATATACTTTAAAAATATCTTGAAAACAAAAGGTTTAGTCAAAAGCTGTGTTGCTTTGTGGAACAGCTTATGCTTTTATTTCCACAGGAAATTAAAGGCTGGATATTCATTCCAAGTTGATAAGATTAATGTTTGATCTGATGACTCCCTGAAAATCCTGGCTACAGATATAATGCAATAACCAAGAAAAACTACAGAACACACTATGTATATTTAACTGTTCAAACATAAAATATAAAATCATCTTTGGCTTACACGTGTTCAAAACAAAATCTATACTTGTCTTAGTACAGATATCTATGTTACCTCTAAAGTTTTTTTTATATATATATTCAAACCAAGCAGACTAGACATGAATGGAAACAAATGGCCAAGGTGATTCAGCCACTTAAAATGCCTCTATTGCAGTTTCCTCACAGTGCTCAGAGTTCTGCATCTAGATCAGCCCCAAAGTTGTTGACTGAGTAGGTGCAGACTCATTCAGTATGACTTGACAATGACCATAATTTTTTTTCACATTTCTCAATTATGTCAGTGCCCTAAGTAATCAAGAAGCAGTCTAGAAAAAAAAGACACCCACATTCTCAAAATATGGATTATAGATGTTTGTCTTTATAAAGGGGATGGTTATAAATTATTATTTCTTATGGTAAAACAAAGCAAAACAAAACAACAAAAACTTAGCATTGGATTTAAATTGAAAGATATCTTTCTAAAGCAAACAAAAAATGGAGATATAACACAGAAATGATCAGATAAAAGGGCAAGATATTGAATCTACTTTAATCCAAGATAACTATATAACCATTAATCTCAAAATGTTTTGCACACACACACACACACACACACATATGCACACACACACACATATTTGTTATTTTTGTTTAAATAAAGAAGAACCATGTCAATGGAGGTGGTCACTGATAAAGATCTAGTAAATTTATGTTGTAGCATAGAGGGGGTCCAGAACCATCATTCTCTGATGTCCTTTTGAAAACTGGATAAATTCCTTATAGGACTGTGAAGTGACAAAGGGACACTCAGAATGATTATGTCTGTGCATGTCTCCAGGTCAACAATCTCTGTTATTTTAATCAAGGGCAACTTCCTGCTCCTCCAGGGTTTCTACCATGCTCAGGATGTGGTTGTAACACTGTGTCTGGCACAGTAATAAACCGCAGAGTCTTCAGATGTCAGGCTGCTGAGCTCCAAGTAGGCTGTGCTGGAGGATTTGTCTGTAGTCAGTGTGGCCTTGCCCTGGAACTTCTGTGCATAGCCAGTACCACCATTACTAGGATTAATATATCCAATCCACACTAGGCCCTGTCCAGGTCTCTGCTTCATCCAGTTAATATTATAGTCAGTGAAAGTGTAGCCAGAAGCCTTGCAGGACATCTTCACTGAAGACCCCGGACCCTTAAGCTCAGCCCCAGACTGCTGTAGCAGGACCTGGGACTGGACACCTGTGGAAAAAAATGAATAAATGTCATTGTTACCAGTGTGTATAGACTATATTTATTTCTGGAATTGGGGAACCACTTACATATAGATGCAGCCGCCAAGAAGAAGATGACCAATGTCCATTCCATGGTGAGGACTTCTGTGCTCAGTGACTGCAGAGAGCACACTGTGATAATCTGTTGTGTGTGGACACCTTTGTATCTACAATCATAGATTCACATTGTTTGCATATTCATGAGACATGGTACTTCTTAGATAAGGACCTAGCCCAGCTAGTTTAGTCAAAAGGATGCTGAGGTATAAGTCCTCATCCTGTCTGAGGTGGTAGCCATTACTGAGAGCTGTGGTGAACATATAGTTAATAGAAAAGGCTTAATCATTCAACTTAAAAATGAAATCCCAACATGAGACATTTAAAACTTTTCCTAAAAATATTGATATTTTAGGTGGTGATAGTGAAAAGGATAATTGTGAATGGAAGTTAAAGAATTCTCAATTTAGGAGAATTTGTAATATTTTTAAATGTACAAGGAATTAATATTTCTTTTGCAGCAGGTTTCAGATATATGTTTCTAGAAATGTTTTCTTTAAATTCTTCTCTTTTTATCTACTTGTTTGCTTTCTATTAAGAGAAGGAATGGTTGTAGAATTGAGAAGTAGGAATGTGGAAAGGATCTGAAAACAGGCACAAAAACTGTGATCAGAATAAAATATTGTTTAAAAAACTATGTACAACTATTACAAAAACCAAAAATAAATAAGTGAATTTTACTAGTATAAATGAAAAAATGAAAAAGTAGATCACTGTTTAACAAAAACATTTTACTGTGTTTGAAAATTAGGGATTTTATATAGTAACTGTGTCAGGTGTTGTTCTACTAATAAAGGAGCCCACAAATGCTAGGGAGATCATTCCACTCCTCATCTCATTTCTGTCTTGTTGATTATTGGCTCCATTTTGCCCCCTGCTGGTCCTGAGCTCCCCTGCAATTTGGTATGTCATGATTTACTCTTAAGTTTCAGGGTCTCTCTTGCACAATAACATAGTCATGCTACTTCAGTGCTCACAGAGATTGGCTCTTGTTTTCTTGGAGATACTGAAGGGATGTGCCACAGACAGTACCTCTATTGTTATACATATTCTGTTTAATGCCATGATATTTACTCATGGCAACTGAATTCAAATCCACAGTATTCACTAGCACTACAGACTCACTGCATAGAATTATTGCATGCTAAATGACAGTTGACAGGAAAAATAAGCATCTTGTTTTTGCTAGACTCCTCATATTTTTCAGGGAATCATTAGTTGGTCTAGACTAATTACCTTGTGAGGCACTTGTCATAAGTTTCCAGGTTAGAGTCCTTGGTTCCTGGGGGACTGTGTGCTTTTCAGTTCTTGATAAAAACAAGTCACTTCCTGAGGCAGTGAAGCTTACAGGCCATCTCTGTTTCTTTATATTTCCTGTAAGTCCATGAAAGATATAGAAGCTTGAGAGAACAGTTGGTTATAGACATTAATATTTTATACCCAAACTTTCAAATATCATAATATGCTGTTAAATACCATTTCTACAATCATAGCAACTGCTATTATAATATTGTTTTGATAAGAGTATAAATACCTGATTGTTCACCATATAATTGTCACATTGTCAGTCTTGCTGAGTTCCCTTTATCTTGGCCTAGTTACAATTCACTTCGCACTGACTATAATATGGACACTTTGGCTTGTTAAGAAAGCAATGCTGTTTACAGGGATTATGTCAATTGAACTAATACGGGTTTGTTTTTTTTTGTTTTTTTTTAAGAATCATTTGTCTAAATCCTCGAAAAACAGCTTGTTTCAAGTACATTAAATATTGTTCATATATTTATCTCTTTTCTTCAGCATACCTGGGAGATACTTAGAAATTAATTCACAGACTCCTGATGTCCATAGTGTGCCCAACCTGCAGGTTCACTGTTGTAATTGCTGGTCACTAGCAGCCATCTCTGATGACTCTCACTCTGGCATTAGGGAACAGACAATTGATCTCTTGGTTTTTGTGTTAACAATGTGCTTTGGAATGAGTTGTGTTTCTCTAGATATCAGTAATCCCATATTCTACAGTTGATTTGTTCTCCAAATTTTCTTCATGGGTAACAAAAATATTATTTACAAATGGCTCAGATATGAACCTATAGATTCTTGTTTTCTTTTACATATATATGAAATCTATAATTTTTGATACTAAAACAACAGCAAATTTTGCTTCGACCATTGATGTGTCTCTAACTCACAGGTAAAACTTTTCAGCTTCCCTACCATCAACAGCAACAAAGAGATCTATTTTAGTAAGCATGGAAACAATATAAACAAGAAAATATCTATAAAAAAGCAGAAAACTGTGAATAAGAATTTTTTGTCAATGGAGTGCAGGTAGAACAGAGACTGGTGTGTATACTGTCATCTCTCAGACTTTTTGACAAGCTGAGGGTATAAGAAACACCTTCAAAGGAACAATTGCATGAAACATTAAGGCATAAAGTAATCTTTAGAAGTATGCAAATTTCCAATATGCATTTGTGAAAAATGTTAATTGTTTCCACCCTATTAGGGCATTAAAACATTGGAAGCTAGAAACAGTTCACACCTTGTTTGCCTTTCCTATTAAGTCAACCCTTCTTCCAAATCCTTAGTTTGCTTGTCCAGCCTATACTTCATGCCTAGCTACTGGCCAATCATCTTTTTTATTAAAAAGAAGAGCAACACATTTTTACAATGTACAGGATTATCCCACAGCATTAAAAAGGTACAGACCAGAACCACCTAATTCCACACACTGTGAAATCCCATACAAATACAAACTTAGAAGCTACACTATGTATGCAAAGGAAATTTAGGTTAAAATAAGAGATATATAAATAAACAAATAAATAAAATGACAAAAAACACATGATATAATGGGACTAGGAGCCTCCAAAATGGTTTTCAATTTGATAACTAAAGACTAACTTTTGCAGTTCAAACAACTTATTCTTTTTTTTTTATTGAGAAAAGGAAAAAAAAGTTTCCCCCTCCTCCCTGCCTCCCATTTCCCTCCCCCTCCTCCCAATCTTCTCCCCCTCCCCCCAATGCTCTCCCCCTCCCTCTCCAGTCTGAAGAGCAGTCAGGGTTCCCTGCCCTATGGAAAGTCCAAGGTCCTCCCCCCTCCGTCCATGTCTAGGAAGGTGAACAACCAAACTGGCTAGGCTCCCACATAGCCCGAACATGAAGTAGGATCAAAACCCCGTGCCATTGTCCTTGGCTTCTCATCATCCCTCATTGTTCGCCATGTTCAGAGAGTCCGGCTTTATCCCATGCTTTTTCAGTCATAGTCCAGATGACCTTGGTGAGCTCCCAATAGATCAGCCCCACTGTCTCAGTGGGTGGGTGCACCCCTCGTGGTCCTGACTTCTTTGCTCATGTTCTCCCTCCTTCGCTCCTCATTGGGACCTTAGGAGCTCAGTCCCATGCTCCAGTGTGGGTCTCTGTCTCTATCTCCACCCATCACCAGATGAAGGTTCTATGGTAAAATGCAAGATATTAATATCCATACCAATATCTTAAGACTTAAAGGTCTTTATTTGGAACCCATGTTTTCAATTCTGGCTGTGAACAATTTATTCTTGACAGCAGGCTCAAGAATAAGAACAGGAAATTAATTAAGTCTATATCAAACAAATTCACATATTTTTTTCTCATAGAGTAGGTATTATCACTTTCATCTGCAATTAGAAATAGTAAAACAACACCTTTGTTAGAAATATAATTGTATAAACTGTTTGCTTGTTGAATTTGCCTTGAGAGATACAGTAAGTTTAACAAGAAGGAGCACGACCTCAATGGGTATAACAGATAGTGCTATTCCCAATGGAGAGAAAAAGGCTACTACCTCAATTTGAGCCAAGTTTTAAGCAAGCATAATTTTTATTGGGGTTGTTTCAAAAGTTGACCAGTGACTGTCTCCTAAATTAGTTTAAAGAGAGCAATGCTGGATCCATCAATCGGTGCCCTTTTAATGATTAGAATACAGGTTGTTTTAGAGAATGGAGACAGTAAGTTTATTAAAAAAATAATCTCAGAAAACATCATATGGTCAACAACCATGTAATTAAAAGGTTACAGGGATGGTCTCAGACTATTTATCATCTGTATAAAGGATGGCTACAGATTTTTTTTTATTTAGTCTTACATGCTGTTGAATTACTGAAGGTGTTTAAGAGTTTTAGTAGTTCCTTGATAGAAATTTTGTGTAACTTATGTAAACTATCATATCACCAGCAAATAGGCAGAGTTTGGCATATTCTTCTCCAATTTGTATCCTCTTGATCTCCTTTTGTTGTCGTATTGCTCTAGATAGAATCTCAAGTATTATATTGAATAGATATGGTGAGAGGGAACAACCTTGTCATGTTCCTGATTTCAATGGGATCACTAATGGGCCAATCAGTTTATAACTAATGTAGACCTCTGTGTGGTTTTCTGGAACTTAACAGAGGCAGTACCAGGCAAGACAGAAAACCTCAGTCTAAAAAGAACAGTGCCCATGTAGATAATTGAATCCACATAAAGCCTAAGAGAGCTTAGAAAGTTATTTTACACAGAAAAAAATAGAGTTAACTATGACTTATTGATAGTAGCACTTTCTTGGGTGGTTCTGCTTGACAGAGGCAAACACTTGAGGGAGGTTGAAAAGGGAGGGGAGAGGCAGGGAGGGGAGCAGAGAAAAAAGTAGAGCTCAATAAAAGTCAATAAAAAAGAAACTCACTTTACAACAAACCATATATTAATTACAAAAAAAGAGAGGCTTCCTGACTCAGCATTAGCTGCATAAACTTGAAGTTATTTTAAGAGGTCCTCTCACAATACACTTAAATGCTGTTGATGAAAAGCTGACTGCATGCTTTTTGGTAGTGTTGGGGACCTTGAAACACCATAGAGTTGTGGCAATAAATTTGGCTTTTGCCAGTACTTTCACCGTGAGGCTAGAATCTCAGGAAGCTAAAAATGGGCTTGATCTAGTCATCAAAGCGACAGCTTTAATCCTACTCATATTGCTTAAAAAAATTAAAGACTCAGGTGGTCAGAAAAAGAGAGAGATATAAAGTGAAGATACAT